AAATGTTCTTTATCAAATTAAAGAATTCCTCTGTTTCTTTTTTTCTTGGTGAATTTAATCATGGATGAGTATCAGATTTCTTCAGATGCCTTTTTTGTATTGATTTATATGTTCGTGTGTTTTATCCTTAGCCTATTTATGATCTACGTTGCATAAATTAATTTTCAAACACTGAATTGATTTTATATCCCTAGGATAAACCCCACTTGGTCATGGTACATAGTTCTTTTTGTATATTGCTAAACGCTGTCTCCTAGCATCTTGTTCATGATCTATATTCATAGAGGAATATTTGTCTACATTTTTCTTAATATTGTCTTTGGTTTATATCAGAGCAAAACTAATAGCAAGAAATGAGTTGGGAGGTGTTTTATTTGTAGCAGATGATGTCAACTTGTTAATTCTTTAAGTATATGATAGAATTTACTAGTGAGGAACAGCTGGACCTGAAGATTTCTTTGCTGAGGATTTTAGAAATTTATCTATTAATCTTCTGAGAGATAATTTAGTTTTCTATTCATCTGTTCAATTTTCTTAGTAGTTGTAAGCCTATTCAGAGGAGATACCGCATAATGAATGAGCTGTGGTGCTTTCTGTTTTTTGTGGTGGGGCTCTTTTTCCTCTAAATCCCAAGCTCTCTGTGCATAGAGGTCTTTGAAGCAGCCCGTACCATCCTCTGAGATGTGTGGGCGCTGTGGTGCTGTCTTGTTTTATGCCTGGTATTGGTAACCTGCATCATTCTCTTCCTTTGTCAACAGACTGCTTTATTGTCTTAATCTTTCCATTTTCTCTATCATTTTACTATTTTCAGTTTTTTGATTGCTTCTCTTACCTCTCTGATGTGATGCCTTCTATTTTCTTTGAGTTTATTTTGTGTTTCTCTTTCTACATTATTTAACTGAAACCTTAGGTTAATACATGCATTCAGTGTTAAAGTTTTCCCCCTTCAGGACTGCTTGCATTGTATCCACATATTTTATGTCATAGGTTCATTTTTATTCAATCAAATGCTTTTTCCCTTTCTCTCACTTAAAAAAAATTGTGTATTTAAAAGTTAGAGTTACAGAGAGAGTGGAAGAGATAGAGAGAAGGATGGACAGAGACAAAATGAAAGAGCAATGTTGATTTTCCATCTTCTAGCTACCTCCCCAGATGGCCGCAATGGCTGGAGCTGAGCCAGGCTGAAGCAAGGAGCTAAGAATTTCTTCTGGGTCTCCCTTTTGAGTGACAGGGCCCAGAGACTTGGGCCCTCCTCCACTGCCTTTCTCAGGCCATTCGTAGGGAGTTGAATCAGAAGTGGAGTGATCAGAACTGAAACAAGTACCCATATGTGATGCTGCCAGCACAGGTGGCGACTTTCCTCGCTGTGCCACAACATTAGCAACATTCTAAGCAATAAGCGCTTATTCTTAGCATTCTTTCATATTTTTTTCTTTGATGGATTACTTACGAGTTCATTGCTTAGTTTTTGAGTTCTTTGTTTTTTTTTTTTTCAGATGTTTTGCCATATTTCCCTTGCAGAATTCTAGTTTGGTTACTTGATGGTCAGAGAAAATTCTTTCTATGTTGTCAGTTCCTTTAAGTTTGTTTAATATGGGTGATAGAAATAAGTTCGGGAAGAGTGGGAGATAAAGTTGGTTCTGTTACTGCCAGTGTTGAAGCGTCCTGGGCAGATGTTGCCGTGCTCTATTCTGCGCTTACTCACCTGGACAGGGGCAAAGCTTAGTGTTTTTGCAGTGTTTAGCTGGATTGGAATAGTTTTTGTCTATACATTTTGCCTTGAAGCTGGCCATATCCTGTTGTCTGGCCTTGAGGAAGACTCCCTTCCCTTTCCCCGCCGCATGTATTGACACTGCTGAATTGGTGGCTTTTCCAGACTTAGTCCTTGATCAGCAAAGCTGACATGAAACCTCAGCAAGCTCACCCTTGTGTTGCTGCCTGCGTGTTGGTTCCCAGCCAAACTCAGAATCTTCTATGTCCATCTAGAAAGGAGTGTCCAGGATGTTTTCAGTTGTAGTTAGAGGGAGGAATAGGGAATAAGCATCTCTTCTGTCTTTTGAGATCCATACGTATCACTGTAGCTGTTTTTAGGACTTCCCCTGTATTACAAGGTTTTAGCAAATGCATTAGCGATGTGCCTCAGTGTGGTTTTATTGGCATTGCTCTTGCTTGGGGTGTGTTGTACTTCTTGACTCCCGGACTATAAAGGTGTTGGAGTGTTATTCCAGAAGGTAGGTCATTAAAGTAAATCAAGAAGTATCAGAAATAGGCGTTACTCTTGGGTTACTGTAAAGCACACACACTATACAAACAGTGCCAGCAAATTGGCTCCCTAGGCAGCGTAGAGTTTATATCATTACCTTATGCCGTTTAATCCCTTTTGCAGTTCTAAGAAAGCTGTGGTGGGGAAAACCAGAATGGTATAGGTCTGACACACTCACAGTGCTCTTCTCCTGAGGGTTGTAGATCACTGTCTACAAGAGTTCACTTTTTCTTTGTTCTGTCATGTCTGCCTTTACCACGTTTTCTGAGCCAGCATATCTCAAGAACAGACAATTTTAGGGAGCTTGGACTCCTCGCTACTTGTTTAAGCCTAATGGTGATTCAAGAACAAAAATATGCAACGGGGCTGCCCTGGAATCGGAATTTGGCATCCACCTCGCTGAAGAAGCTGTGCATCAGAACAGGATGAAGTAGTCTGGACCCACAGCTGTGGGTTTGCAAGAGTTTATGGACTTAGAAGGGTATTACAGTGGCATTGATCTTCATGGGGCAGAGTGGAACTTACGAGTTTTGCTGGACTGTAGAGGCAAGGACAGTGGCACCACTGCTGTAGCTGACTATAAAGGTAGAAGGGCATCTCATTTCAGAGCTTGCAGTGGTAAGATAGCCAGCCAAAGAGAACTATTGTTTAGTAAATACCTCAATTAAGCCTGTTTCCCTTAGTGGTTGGAAAGTAGTAGTATTTGTCAAAGCCTCTGATTTTATCCTTTTAACATTTCTCATCGTGTTTCTGATGATGTCTCTTCAGCTGGCATACCATGTAATGCTGTTTATAACAGCTTAGTCTGTGCCCTTTTCCACTCAGTGTGATTATCGCATTATAGAAAGACAACCGTTGAAATTAGTAAGAAGCAATCAATTTCATGTCTTTTCTATTGACATAAATTACTATATTTATTGCAAGAAACACATTCACTTAGACACTACTGAATTATTATCAACCTACTGTGACCTCGAGGTGGTCGATATTTCATTCTATAGCTTTTACTTTAAAAACAAAATAGATGTCCAATACATGAAGAATGTGAAGTTCAGCAGATGTGACATATGTCAGGGTGGGCGTCTGCCTGGAAGATGGTCTATGCCTGATGAGAGGATGTCTTGTAAATGTGAGGAAAGCCACTGGCAGGTATGAAAGTAATGCGTGAGTTAAATAAGCTGAGAGGAACTACTGTGTGCTTGATGAAATACTGCCTTTTGTAAATGGACACAATGTTTGATTTTGCATTCTTGCTTTCAGCTCTGATTATAGCTATGCAAGGTGTTTTTATTTCAGGATAATTTTTTTCTGTGTAATTATCTGACCAAATGCTGGCATATGTTGATAATTTCTTTTCTCATTTTCAGTCACTTAAGAGAGAGTGCCTCAACTTGAAGTATCCTCTTTAGCTTCCACGTGATGGTTTTATGTTTTAGAAGTGTGCTCATTTTATAATGACTCATAATGGATTTAAAATCACTTGAAGATGGCTTTGTTGATATAACTTGAGAAACTTGTATTTTACTCTTTATATATAAAATCATGCATATTTATGAAGTGCCATGTGATGTTTCCATACTGGTATGTGTTCTGTAAACCTTCAAGACAGAATTTATCTCCCCAAATGTGTATCATTTCTTTATGGTAGCAACACTCAGCATTCTCTCTCCTAGCTTTGTGACATGTATGATAGAGTATGTTTTTATTATTTGTGTTCACCTTCCTGTGAAACAACACCACAGAACTTGCCCCTTGTATCTTGGTACCTGTCAGTCAAGTACCAGCTTCCATCTGGCTCTGCTCCCTAGCCTTCCGGGCATCTCCTAACCATCCCTCTACTCTTTAACTTCTCTAAGAGCAACTTTCTCAGGTTCCACAGAAGGTTGAAGTCCTGCAGTACTTGTCTGTTATATACCATCTTCAGGTTCCAGCCGATAGCAATGTTTCCTATAAATCAGTGTTTGGATTAGAGTGTTTGGATCACTGGGATTCTGCTTCTCTCTGAGATAGGCAAGGATGCCCAGAAAAGCTGAGCAGGAGTTGGAGGCCGCACGCTGCCTGTGAGGGAGTCTCCCTCAGGGCACCATTTCCCAGGGACTCTCTGTGAGGGTTAGACTACTCTCAGTTCACGACTGCGTCACGGGAGGTGGGCTGGGTGCTATTCTGGGCATTTCAGGTCCCTTTCTCTACGCCAGGCATATCGAGGGATTTGGAAAGTAGGGTAAATTTTCATAATTGGCTCAGGCAAGACTCCCAGCTTTGTCCTAGAACTTTCCAGAAAAGAGTCAAATGTCTAGTCTCATATACTCAAACACTTGGCTACAAAATAATCATAAACTGAGATTTTTTGGCTTTCTGGAGTTTCAGAAAAATAAATAACAAGATTCAGCTGATGGAATCCAAAATTAAAGACTTCTTTAATAAACCAGGAACCCAAGTTCAGTCTTCCGATCAACCTCAAAGAATGTATTCAGATGTGGGAATCAGCTGTGGTTAACTGGTTAAACAGACTTAAGGAGAAATTCTTTTGAATACTGCTAATTTTTTTTCCCTATTTTAGTTTCACTAAATGAGATCCCTTGTCTGGAATTTTCTGAGAGTTCTGTACTTTATACAAACAGCAGATTGGCCTCCAACTTGCAGGTCCTGACCTCTAGCCTTGCATCTCCATTTTGCCAGAGAAATGCTAGGCACCCTGGGTGCAGCCATCTCACAGTCACTTCTCCGTGTTTCCTAGGTGACGAGTGCGACATTGACATAAACGAATGTGACAGTAATCCCTGCCATCACGCTGGAACTTGCCTGGACCAGCCCAATGGCTATAGCTGCCACTGCTCACATGGCTGGGTGGGAGCAAACTGTGAAATCCGTAAGTATTTTGCCAGATCCTCTACTGTAGCATTACGTTTGCCTGCAGCAAGACGAAGATGCCAGCTGTAACCAGATAACTCCTGCTCACCAGTCACTGGCAAGGCAGTGAGCCCTGGAGACAACACAGGTTACCCAGGCCTCCCAAGCCCCGTCTAGCGCTCCCGCCCTCCCGTGCACTGTGCCCACTCCTTCCAGTGTCTGAATCCAGCTTTCCCGGAGTGAGGACTTTCACATGTCATCCAGAGTTCACCACTACTCATGCAGCCAAAAATGTGCTTCGCGGAGAAGCATCAGAATCCTATCAGAAAATAGAGCCTTTGTGTCAGATTTTTTTTTTCTTTTGGTGAAACCAAACAAAACAGAATGTAAATTCATTTTGCACTTAAGTCTGCAAGGGTCTTCAAGTGGATTAAGTTCCTTCAAGTGCCTGGAAAGAAGTCCAATGAAGGCAAAGCTTAAAAGAAAATCTGAAAAACATTTCAGGCTGCTCCAAGTTAAGTGTTGTCTTGTGGTGAACTTGCAGCAGTTTCACCATGTTGCAGTCGGCCCTTGAGATGTACAGACACCAGGAGTGAGCTGAGCGGACAGAGGGATGGAGAGCTGATATGCAGCTGTGTGTTTAGCTGTTTGAGAAAGTGCTGGTCATTCTGCTGTGACAGCTACGTCCTTAGTCTCTTCCTAGAACAAGAGGGGTCCTTTTCACCCCATCCTAGAGTCCTCAGTGCATAGGGACCCTTACCTGTGGTGTATGTTTGGAATAAGGGTGGTGAATGCACAACGTTCTAGCTGTCTATCTGGTTCTCACCCTGACTTTGGCTTTCTTTGTGTGACTGGGCTTAGTTGTGCTGAGCCTCAGTGTACTTAACCATAAAATGAGACCAGTCTTCATTCCAAAATGTGATGATGTGGAATGACACATATCATGCATTCTGATAGTCACATCTGTGTATTACTTTTGAAATCATATTGTGAAGATAAACCTGTATAGGAGAGTATGGATAAGAAAGTTCAGAAACACTAAGAGTGTCCAGTAAATTTTAAACTCAAGTCCAATGCTAGTAAAAATGTATATAAATTATACTTATTTCCAATAATGATGATAATAAAAATATTCAAGCTTGGGTTCAAATCCAAGCTAAATTGTGTTGTAGCTATTGTAATGTGGGCACACAAATTTCCCTCTCACAGTCTTGTCCTTCCCACTAATGTGATTACATTAGGCCCACTCAGGTAATCCAAGTTAATCACCCTATCTCGATAGCCTCAATTTAAGCACATTACAAAAGTCTCCTTTGTCATATAAAGTAACACATCCATAGAACCTGGGGATTAGAGTGTGGGCATGGTTGGGAGACATTATTCTGCCTAACACCCCATCCTATCAATAATACCTGCCTTTTCTTCCAGCTTGATTGATTGATCAAGTTGGGGATGACATAGAATTTTACTGGTTATAGCATCATTCTAGTTGTGGTGAATGTTTGAGCAGACATGACTTGCCATCATGAAAGATGAAGATGTGGAGAATGGTTGAGGCATTGGGTCCAGTCCAGTGTCTTCTGGCCCCCAGGCCCTCACAGTGCATGATGACACATCTCACCTCCCTGGCTTTTTAGTTCTTCATTTACAAAAGGAGAGATTAACCGGCAAGGTTCATTCTTCCAGCTCCAGAAGTGTAGATTCCATCCTTCAAATAGTGTGGTCCTATATCAGCAGGCACAAAAGGTAAGGCAGATATATTCTGCTGCCTTTACCTTCCAGAATGGCACAAAGTATCTCCTACTATACATGGCATGAGTGGGGGGAAAGGAGAGGAGGGGATCTATCCTGACATACATACGGGCTATTCCCCATGGCACTGAGAGCACCTGTGCATGCTGAAAACACAGCACCACCCCGTCACTGGGGAGCCCTACTCAGGTAGATGGCTTCTCATCTACCATTGCTGACGATGCTGAAACCTAGTGGGACCGGTGGATTAATCCCAATTTAGCTGTTCCACACTTGCTTCCTCTGCTCCCTGTTTATCCGCCAATGAGTGTTTCTTAGACATTTGTTTGTTCAGGGGCCGAATTTTTGGCACAGCAACCATCCAACAGTTGTTACGTGCTTAATCCGTTATGTGGACAGGCGAGCTGCTTTGTGTCTGTTCCTCACTTTTGTGTAAATCAGCCTTTTTGCAAAACCAAAAATAATTTTTATCACTACCTCACATCGGTAAACACTGTGAACCTTTTCTCATGTATTCTTTTAAAAATATTAGTTCTATTATTATTAAAGATTTATTTATTTGTATTGGAAAGTCAGATTTACAGAGAGGAGAGACAGAAAGATCTTCCATCTGCTGGTTCACTCCCCAAGTGGCTGCAACAGCCAGAGCTTAAACAATCCTAAGCCAGGAGCCCGGAGCCTCTTCCAGATCTCTCATATGGGTGTGGATTCCAAGGCCTTGGGTCGGCCTCTACTTCTTTCCCAGGCCACAAGCAGGGAACTGGAATTGAAATGGAGCAGGTGAAATATGAACCAGTGCCCATATGTGATCCCAGTGGATACAAGGCAAGGATTTAGCCAATAGGCTACCACACTGGGCCCTATCATGTATTCCTGTAGATGTATTCAATAGACTATGCAAGTCTCTTTTGTTTCCCTATAGTAAAGGATTATTTTATTCATCTTGTGTTTTTTTTTTAAGATTTATTTTATTTTTATTGGAAAGTCAGATATACAGAGAGGAGGAGAGATAGAGAGGAAGATCTTCTGTCTGTTGATTCACTCCCCAAGTGGCCACAACAGCCAGAGCTGAGCTGATCCAAAGCCAGGAGCCAGGAGCTTCTTCTGGGTCTCCAACATGGGTGCAGGGTCCTAAGGCTTTGGACTATCCTCCACTGATTTCTCAAGCCATGAGCAGGGAGCTGGATGGGAAGTGAGACCACTGAGATTAGAGTTGGCGCCCATATGGGATCCTTGTGTGTGCAAGGCAAGAACTTTAGCCATTCGGCTACCATGCTGGGTCTGCTCTACTTGTTAATACTGCCGCCTCTCAGTAGACAGCAGCCTACTCGTGTGAGAGTATCAGTAAGGTAATGTCTCAGAGCTGGAATGGCTAGGTTAAAGGGCTTTCAGTTTTAATACTTGGATTTGGCATGATGGTTATTATTGTTGTAATTTTTCACAAGTGTTTATCTATATACGTTGGCTCTTTGCTTTTTAAATCTTTGTCTTGGAAGCAATGATGTGGCAGTCCCAAGGTGACTTGGAAATTACGCTTATTTCGTACTTACCCTGTTGATGTTTTGAGCACCGCTTACTTTTCCTGGAATAACTGTGGCTGTGTGTGAGGAACGTAGCCTGACCGAGCGGAGAGAATGCTGCTCTGGAGTCGCGTGGGGGAACTCAGTGCTGTGACTTGACGTCGTTGTGAGTTGCAACTCAGCTGCTCCGTGGCTGGAAAATAAGATCTCTTAGCCCCAGTCCTTGAGAAATGGGACAGTGAATGTCAGCGTGTACTGCGGTGCCTGGCACCCACGGGGACTCAGTACATGGCTGCTTGAACTGTTGATGAGCTGTCCTTCTCTTTGATCACTAGTGATCCCTGGAAGTCTACCCGGAGTGAGATTTGTGTTTCCCAAATGCACTGTTGACATGTGAGAGAATGTGGGTTAAAAAGCACTTTCTACAAATACGGAGTATTTTAGGGTCACACACAGTATATGGATCGATGGTTGCTGTTGATAGAATTAGGCCTTGCCATTTCCCTTGTGGCGTAGAAACAGCACATGAGCAGATCTTTCTAGTCTTCTCTGAAAACTGCTGATGGGTTTATGTACCGGGGGAATGGTTCTCAGGCCTCTGGCTGCAACCCGCCGGAAGATATGATTCATATCTTGACGCTATGTATGACACATAAATATGCACATAAGCACCCCAAACGTGAAATAATACTTTTTCCTGAGTGACACACTCTGATACAGTTTTCTAATTTTTTTTCCAAAATATGAGTATAGTCTTACTTCATTGATTTCTGCAATCTTCACTTTGCAAACCACTACTTTATTCATTGAAATATGTGGCTGTAGAAACACAATGCCTGGATTTAAGCACATATTCTCTTATTCACTTTTAAAAAATTATATAAAGGGTATGAATTTTATGGTTTTAGGAGCCTAATGAAACTTCCCATCCTATTCTCCCACCTATTGTCTCTTGTCCTTTCTTTCCTATTAATTTTTGCAGTGGCATATTCTCACCAGCTTAACCCTCCACTAAGTAAAGAATTCAGCAAGCAGTAGGCTTCTTCTGCCAGCTGTGATGTGCATTAATCCTGGGAAAATCACTTCCCTCCGAGTCTCATTGGTTCTTGTATTAGTTAGAGATAACAGTATCTTCCTTAGAACATTTTAAGAGGAATAAGTGATTTAACTCCCAAGACACTTAGAATCCAAACCAGCACATATAGACTTTTCAGTCAATGTCAGCTGTTACTCACCAAGATAATGAGCTCATTGTCCACCTGACGTGATCATGTGGGGGTCTTGAAGACACTTCCTATTGAAAACACACACACACACACACACACACACACACACACACACACACGTGTTCAGGTCTTCTGGTCAGCATTGAATGTCTTGGTGTGATCCCTGCTCAGCTACAGGGCACAGCTGTGCTTGGCTTTGTTTGTGGGTACCTTGTGAGATCTCTGTATCCCTCAGCAGACTTGGGCCCCATGAGCAAACTTTTCACTTTTTTTCTGGCACAAAGTAGGTACTTGATGCTCTGAATGGATTCCAGGGAAGAAGTGTATCTGTTCCTTCTGTTCCCTTCTTCCATGTGTGCGGATTCGCAAGGGTTAATTTCTTTTTCCATCTTACTGTTTTGGTTGCACCTGTAACCTTTAGCTACAGGAAACATAATGTAATCCAGAGGTTCCCCTTGCAGTTGTTCTGGGTAGCAGATTGTCTCAGAAATTCTGAAGCTACTAAACGACATCTCCACAATGACATTCTCATCTACTCACTTTTACTCTATAAATAACTAAGGTAGACGAATTAACTAGTCGTAGTCCATGGCTAACCCCCTTTCCCAACTGAAGGAATTTTGGGGACCAACTCAAATGCTTAGTGCAAAAGCACTTTGTGGAATACAAAATCCCAGTTAAGGAAAAATGAAGAGGATGCCTTCTTTTTGAACAGCTCATGTGCTTGTGTTTCTGACTGTGCACCTGCTGGGACTGATAAGTTGACCCCATCAGTCTGGATCATGCTGCTTCCCCGTGCTGTGCAGCCAACATGCAGAGGGATTCCAAGCATGCAGCAAAGTGTGGTTTTGGAGGGTGGTGTGCCTGGACTGGCAGACAGCAATTGCAGCCACCTGGTGCAGACCAACTTGCTGCCTGTGTGACCAAGTATTGACTTTGCTCAGTTCTAGCCTGGCTACTAAACTCAAGTTTAGTTAGCAAGACATTCACCTTCACTCCCATCAGAAAAGTTTCAGGAGATGGTAAAATAGAATATAACTTTAAAGAAAAGTGTAGAGAGAGGAAAGAAAGTAGAAGTTTTTGGAGTCATTTGGAGAAAGTTTTCTCAAAAGCCAGACCACTTGGAATGCAGACACGTGGGAGATGGAGCAGGCGGTGAGGAATGGCAGCTGTGGAGGAACTCAGAGAAACTGAGCCCAAGATCAGCACCATTGTTTTTTTCAAAGCAGTAGCCATGTGATTGTGTGTTTTGGCTTTTACACAATTAACACAAGTGTCAAGTCATTTGTTTATTGGGTAGATCACCAGAAATGGACTTGTGATGACCAACACCATATCTGCGTGCTCTACTGAGCTGGAGTACAGGCGAGCTGCCCTCGTGTTTCTGCTAAATGGATGTTGTAATGTTCCTCATGGAGCCTCGAACTCCAGTTTGTGTCTGATTTTTTTTAGAGACTGTTAGAATAAATAGAAATCAAGTGAATTGGTCTTACTCTTTTAGCTGCAAAAGTAAATCTTGTCTCTCACATGTACCACCTATTGCCAAATGACATGGCTGCTGATTTAGCCATGGAGTTTTGCTTCTGTTTCTACAAAGCAACTTTCTGTCATGACGTCATTTGTGGCGATTTATGTTACCGCACCTGTGTTTGCAAGCTGGTTCAGACGGAGCAGAGAGAGTCAGTCACACTAAACTCCATGTGCCAGGAGCTCAGGCCGGCCAACTCCAGTGGCACCAGTCAGATTATCTGGACCCAAACTCAGAAGTCATTCCCTGCATCCTTTCCTCTCCCTTTCTCAGGGACCGTCCAGGCTGGGCACCCGGGTCACTTTGCTGTTGGGCTTCTCAGAAATGTCTCTGAGGACTTGTCCTGTTGTTGCATCTTTATCTGAGCTCTGCAGATGTTAACAGTTCAAGGCAAGGGATGGCTAATCCTTGATCCCATAAGCACTGAAGAAGTAGCTGAGATGAAGTTGTGGACATCTAGGAGCCACAAACATGAGGGTATTTTAACAAGCTCGTTGAAATGGAATTAAATGGTGAAGCGTGTGGGTGCAAAATATCTGAAATCCATGTTATTTTCCTCTTAACATTTTCAGTGAACTTTCTTCTTTTTTAAAGAAGATTTGTTTATTTGGAAATGAGGGTTATACAGAGAGAGATGGAAATCAGAGTTACACAGAGAGAAGGAGAGAGAGAATCACTTGTTCACTGCTTTTCTGCTCCAGATGACTGCAATGACCAGTACTTGGCCAGGAGCTTCAGCCACGTCTCCCACTTGGATGGTTTCCGAATACTTGGGCAATCCTAACCTGCTTTTCCTAGGCTGTTAACAGGGAGCTGCATCAGAAGCAGAGCAACTGGAACTTGAACAGGTGCTCAGTACAGGATGCCAGCTTTGAGGACGGTGGCTCTACCTCCCAGGCCACAACACCAACCCCTCCATAGACTTTTTAAGGAATCTGGATATGCATGGATTTCAAATGGTTTTTTTTTTCCTACCAAAGCAAACCTTTTAACTACATTTTGTAAAAATTTTTCCTCACTTAAAATAGAATAGGGAGATGATTCCTGAAGATTTCACAGTACTTCTTTCCTAGGCCACAATCAGGAAACTAAATTGAAAGTGCAGCAGTCTGGACACAAACTGGCACCGAGATTGGATGCCGGCTCTGTCAGGCAGAGGATTAGCTTGCTACCCTACCACTCTGGCCCCTACATGAACTTCAGCTTTTCAATGAGTAGTTAGATATTCTGAAGTCATATACAGTTCACAAATTATTTTATTACATAAGTAGGTCATGTTAGAATACATCATTTTCATTTCAGCCTTTTGCTGGTTAATTAATATTTTTACATTTTACTAAGAGCCTAATATTAATGCTATGTCTCATTTTTTGTCTGTTATAAATCATGTTGGAGCCGATGGGGTGGTACGAGAGCACAAGAATAGGGGACATGTAGCTACACCTGCAATGTTTTATCTCTTTCTAAAAATTATCTGAAGACTCTAAAGCAAAATGTGAAGGCTTATTAACTCCCAGTAATGAATACAGGATTCCTGGTGATTTTCCGAGCCTTTCTATGAATATGTAGTAGTGGGGCATTTCACATTTAAAGTTGTGATTCTAAGATGAATTTTCTTAGACAGGGGATTTCTGCATTTACAGGGGTTATTTCTGCAGCACAAATCCTAAAACACATTAAAATATGTGCCTCAGAAGGGTAATGTATCAAGTTATAGTCTCTATTCCTGTGTGCCCTTGTCAACTGTGCTTATCATATTTTAAAAATAACATTTGGATGTCGGTAGAGAAATTTCATTTAAAAGATAATTATGGAGCTGAGCAGTTTTCCACTCACATTCCTTCGATGAACTCTCTACCCCCTCTGCACGTTTTCCCGTGACATATTCCTGGGTTTTCATGATTTGGGAAAAGCCATTATGCCTTAAATCCTTCATCCCTTGATCTGGACTATGCATAGAGGATGATTCTTCTAGGTTTGCTGGCTCTGAAATGGTAAATTACTGATGCCAGGGAAGGAAAGACAAGTTGCAAAGGCCACAACTCATGCCCAGCCCTGTGCTTGCTTTGGCCTTCAGACCTGCAGTGGAAGTCCGGTCACATGGCGGAGAGCCTCACCAACATGCCCCGGCACTCTCTGTACATCATCATCGGAGCCCTCTGCGTCGCCTTCATCCTCATGCTCATCATCCTCATCGTGGGCATCTGCCGCATCAGCCGCATCGAGTACCAGGGCTCCGCCCGGCCTGCCTATGAGGAGTTCTACAACTGCCGCAGCATCGACAGCGAGTTCAGCAATGCCATCGCTTCCATCCGTCATGCCAGGTGGGCTTCCGGGGTGTCAGCGGGCAGGGGAAGCGCTGCTCACAGGTGCACCTTCTTGGTACCAGGTTTGTAACAGACACAGGATATCGCGAGAAGATAAAGCATAGTAAGTGCAGTGCTGTAACGGGACAGCAGGCAGCCAGGCTGTGCGACCAGCTCTGGTTTACACTGAATACTTTCGTTCATCTAATTTGTGTTCATCATTGCATCAGTAGCTGATTGTTAATTTCTCTGTGTTGAAGCATTTCCCGATGATTTCTGGGATATTGGACTATGCTGCTTTCAGACCATTTGCCTAGATGGATGATTCTGATTGATGCGGGGACTTACAAAAGGATAATGAAACAGCTTCCATGTCACTTCTAGAGTCCATCCTGATAGAGAGCAGTGTCCTGCTGTGGAGGGAGGATTCCAGCAAGGTCTGGGCTGATGTGCTTGTCAGGGGAAGTCTATGCATGAGGCCTCAGGCAACAGAACAGTTTTAGCTACTCCATGACTGGGTATTTTAAAAGACCATTTGATAGCTCCACACACTGAGAAATGGATAAGTAATCCTTAGTAATAACAGTCATGTTAAATCACCCTTATTAAAGGTTTGTACAGATCACACCGGATTTGCTTCTGAGCCATTATAAACAACTCAGCTAATGTAAAGAGTATTTATCCTAAAAAAGACAATAGCAACCTTGTCCATTGAAGTGAGCCATGTTTTCTTTCCATCAGTGGACTAACCTGAAGAGATCAGCTCAGAAGTCAGTATAGTTGAGACTGGCTGAAGTTGATGCCTTAGGGCTGGGTTCAAGGGCACTGTTAGCTGGATGACACCCGCTGAGATGTCATCTGTTGGTGCTGGTCAAGACACACACTGACAGAATTCTGTCTCAATGCTGCAGATACGAAGAGGTGCAAAAAAAAGTCTTCTTTAGAAGATCAAACCCCAAATCTTGCAACTGTTTCTTTGCTCCACAAAGTTACAGTTGGCTTCTGGGAAGAGGAGCTGGTGGCACTTGGGAGGTGAGGCGGTCCTGCCGTGATGCCTGGATGGACCTGAACCCAGCTGTGATTTAATTGTGAGAGACAGCAGGGAGCCTGGCCTCCTCCTCAGGGCCTGCGCTGCTGCTCTTCCTGCCTCCTGCTCCTGAGGCCCGTTCAGGCAGCAGTGCTCCCAAACAGCATGATCTCCTCTCAGGCACCTGCTTCTGTGTCCCGAGGATCCTGGCACACAGAAGATCTCAGCAAATTTTCAGGTCAGAAATGAGTGGGTGATCTCAGTGAGGGGTTGACCCAGCACCAGACCCATGACCCCAGCCTAGGAAATCAGATCCCCCCCACCTCGAGAGGTATTGTAGGTAAGGCCCGTTCAGGAGCCAAGAGGCAAGCTTTGTAAAGCTGGAGATGAATTTTTCTTCCCATGTAGGCCTCTTGGGAAGGAAAAAAAGAATAGTCTTGAAACTCCTGAAGCAGAGAATCGACTGGAATGCATTTTACAAACCTGGATTCTATTTGGCACTGATTTTTATCAGAAATATGTATGGCAGGTTTCCTAGCCAACAAGCTGCTGCACGCACCGGTGACAGCAGATGGAATGATGATATTAAAGGAGTGTCTTCCCAAATAGCTGGAATTCAGGAGAACATCTCCCTTGGCAGCTGAATTAGTGACCATCTCATGTTTCTGCAGCCTGCCTGTGCAGAGGTTGTGGCTGGGTCTCTGGCCTACTGGCCCCTGTTGCTCCCTTTCTGGGAAACACTAGAAAGGCATTGGCAAACTCTCAGTCATTTGGATGTTACCCTCCACCTACTGCGTATCTCAGACTGTCTGCCTGCCGCCAGTCTGGATGTGATACTGAAGGCAAATGAACATAGCACAATGCTCTGTGGGAGGATGCTGAGTGGGTCACCCGGGACACTCACAAGTGACTGGGGAAATACCTGGTGATACTGAGGTTGGCCATCTGTTGTTGTTGTCTTCTCTCCGGAGTCACCTGTGCGTTGGCAGCTTGCTGACACACAGGCAGCAGAGTTTGTAACTGGTTGGCCAGAGCTGAGTTCTGGTGGCTCTTTCTGAGTTCTGATCCTGAGGTCGCATCTTGGTTGCTGGAAGCCAGGTCTCAGCAGGAAAGGCCTGATCTCACAAAGCAGAAAAAGGCAAGCCATGGATGGACAGTATTGCTCAGCAGCTCCAAACACAGTGGTTTTGGTCTTTCTCAGTCCTGGGTCACGGCCATTCTCTACAGCGTTGGCTGGCTGTGAACTTGGTAGAGAAGGTCTGCTCTTAGAGCTGCTGCACACGGCCCTTTATTCTTGTAGAGAAATGGGCACATGAGACTTGTCACCACCTGTAATGTTTGCGCCCTGCTGGTGTCACAGCTTCTGTTTAGTGCCTCTGTGGCGGCCAGCATCGACTGAGAGCTTCCTGTGGGTCAGACGCCATTCTAAATGGTTCTGAGATAAGGCATTGGGAAAAATCTGAATCTGTAGTCCATGACACAGGTGGCAAGAATGGGCTTAGAGAGATCATGCAACTTATACAAGGTTTCTTACGTGGGAAGTCCAGGGTAAAAGATGTGCTAGCTCGAGGGCAGTGTCTTCAAATGCACCCAGTATGTAGACGGTCACCAGGAGTGGGAAAAGAGACTCACAGGTCGCGTGTTCTTCACGTGCATGGAGGCTGCAGCGAAACGCCTAGAACTCAGGCCCCAGAGGCCAGATAATTCCACCTCCCACAAGGAGTCTGACCTCGAAAACTGATTCCTAATCTTTTATTTCCTCTTCTGGTAAAGTGGGACAAGTGTAACCTGCTCATCCCCTAAGTTGCTGTGACAATGAGATGAGAGGATCAGTCCCTAGAATTGAGACAATCACGGGACTCTGGTGTGACATGAACACTGACCTCAGTGCCTGACGTGCGAGCTCTCGGCGGGCCTCGAGGAGGAGCTGGGAAGAAGCGTTTGAACTGCTTTTCTGGAGGGAGAGGGCATGCCTGCTCATGTACATCCCGGAGAACGCTGGCGCCCTCCTGGAAGCTCAGCAGTATCTCCTAAGTGTCATGGTGTGTGGTCGCAGCTCAGCGGGGAGTTAACAGGCGGAAACGTGACCATAGCTGCCCACCAGCTCTTGAAGAATCAGTTGTTCCCACTGATTTTCTAAACTTGTATGATATTTTTTTTAATAGACAAGAATGCTTTCCCAGTCAAACTTCACACAGAGTTGAGGGTGAGAATTCAGTTGCAAACAGTATGCAGAGTATATTCTCGCTTTTGTTAACATGTGTAATAAATATTATATATGCGAATGCGTCCGTAAGTTCACAAGAAAGTAGAATTAAAAGAGAAGTTTGTTTTGGTACAAAAATTTTTTTAAGTCCATTTAAATCAATTTTTTCATAATAAGCATTTTTTTCCATAGCTGTTTGAAGATTTCTCATATACATGGTTTTAAGATTTTTGATACAAAATAAACCTAGCCTTTGATTTTATTTCCTATGAACTATTTGAAGTTCCCTTGTATGACATATTCAGAGGTGCTTACTACATACCTGCTAACGGAGCTGAAAAGATTTTGTGGTGCGGAGTGGCCACAACAAAGGATAACACACAAAACATTGACGCCTTTTCCCTTGGGGAAGGAAACAAAAATGATTGTTAGGGTGTTCAGTAGTGGCCTTCAGGCCACACAACCTGTTGTGAATACTCCACTCTTGCTATATTACACGTAAACATCCAGAATCAGTGTGAGTGGCTCGACTACAGTCCAAGAAAGCTGCTTAACACCAGGCAACAGGCTGAACTTGGCCTGCAGCTAATAGTTTGCTAACCCCTACACAGCAATTTAATTTTCTCTAGCTCCTAATTTTTTCTTTCACAACTAAAATGTATCCCGATAAGAAAAACAGCATGCTACTTGAGAAAAGAACAATCATGTTTTAAAACTGTGGTAAAAAATTAAGCAGCCTCTTATGCTGCTTTAGTGCCTGGAGTTTAAGATAGAAGGCTACAGGTGTTTCTTCATCTCCTGGCATGTACCCAGTTTTGAGAAATGAAGGAGGTAGAAAAAGCTGTTACTGTTTGAAAGGTCAGCATGGGCACACGTCCCTGGATCCCCAAGGATGAGTCCACCCTGGTGAGAGAGGTTGGCAATTCCGTTGTATCAGACATGGGATATGTATGTGACATCCATCAGATGTTCTATCAAGCAGACCATTTTCACTTTGGCTCAGTAGATGCTACACGTGGGGTGGGGCGCTCTGTGATTCACCTGTGTCAGAAGAGCTAAATTCTGACAGCTGGAACACTGAAAGGGGATTTCAGGCCCCGGCCTGATTGCGCCTTCCCTGCTGGACACATCAGTCCGAGGTTCACCAGTTTATCTTGCTAACGTCACGGTCCTCCGTGACCCGTTCCTGTCATCACCATGTGCCCCAGGAAGGTGGGCAGTCTGGAGGCAAAGTCGTGCTGCCTGCCCAGCTGTCTGCTTTGAGCACACACAGGTGAACAAATGGCTCATTGTGGAGGGGTGTCAGCAGTTGTCTAGCACACTCAGTGACTGCACAACAGCCACTCTCAGTCTCACATTTAATTTTATGGTCCTTTGAACAATACCTTGCTTTTGGTTGAATAAAACAGAGACATCTAATTTTCTAGATTTTGAGGAAACTGATTCTTCTTCAAACAGTAAAGACATATGAAAATATCTTTTAAAAAAATCTAACGGAGTCCATCAAGTTTAGATTTTTCTTCTTGGTCAATTATAAATTTTCAGTTAATTAATATGATTTTTTGGTTCATACATCAAAGTTTCCACAGGAAGCCATAGCTATAAGCTAGGATGTGGAGAAGTTTCTATAGGGTTGGTAAATTTTTCTGTTAAATTATTAGTAGTAAGTAATACATTTTGAACAATGTATGTGGCAGCTTTGAAAACTTGTCAGAATATATGTTTTTTTCCCTTAAAGCAGTTTCTGATGAGTTCAGACTTGAGGGGAAGGGTCAGGTGCAGCAGGCCTTTCCCACTCTCCGCTCAGCCTGGAACTCGACCCAACCTCTGCAGATACAAGTCCAGGCTCAGCGCAGCATCACATTTCAGAGACGGAAGTCTTGCTAAGGGGTGCAGGCTGGCTCTGGGTCTCCTGGGGCACAAAGCGTTGACTTCCCCACCTCTAGCCTGGTATACCTCCCTGCTCCTGAAGGTCAATCAAACGGGAATGAATGGGAGTTCAAGATTGACAAATGGCTGCAAATGAAAGATGATCTGACGAATGCACTGTTTTCTCGTCCCCATCCCCCGCCATGCCAAACTCGCCACAACCCCGTGGATCCTGCTTCTCTTCTCCAAGCATAGCGTGTATCAGGGAGCAAGAGACAGAGAGGCACCCAAGCTCTGGTGGTTGAACCCCTTTATTTCAGAGGAACCCCCTTTTTCAAAATGCAACATTCTTCTGAAATTCCTTTTTAATAAACCCGGTTGGACACATCTAAAGGAAGGGGGAGAACTGGTGGGTTTTTGTGGACGATTGTTTAAATTCTGTTGTACTCCAAGGCTTTTAGGAAAGGTGAGGGGTCTTACCTTTCAGACCACCCAGAAGTTGAGTTAGCTTTATTGTAATAACTGCTTAAGACTGGCTTAGCAGTAAATCCTGAAATTGGGTTTGACTTCCCTGGCTTCTAGGAGTCTTCAACCCTGCCATCCAGGGGATTTTTGTGTTTGCAGATCTGTTGGGACAATGGCTTGTGTGTACCTGGGGCTTGGGGTTGGCATGATAGATGCTGGGAGACTGCATGAACAGGTGTCTCTGCATTTGACACTACTTCCTGTTCTCTTCCTCTGTTATATTGAGGTCTCAAAGGACCTCAAAACCTTCACAGCTTATCCCTGAAAATCCACGGGAGAGGTTGTCTGTCTGTAACACCCTCCCCCCCACCACCACATGCTGTATTTCAAGCGCTAGAGTGGATGTAACATACGCTTTGTTCTCCAAGACTTATAGGTCTTAGAAGATAAAGGCAAATCAACATATGTTTTCTTAAAACCTGTTGTGGCGTTGTCATGCCCAACTGCTTTGCCAGGATTTAATGTAAAAACTTTGACATTTGTTTGGCCTGTCTTGTGAAATCCATTCTTTGGTGTTTGCATCAAATATTCATGTTTTACCTATCAGTGTTAATATCAGGATTCTTTTATTTCTGCACCAACAAACTAGAGGATGTGTTCAATGGACTACTGCTAGGGTTCCATTTGATTCTTGAGTGTAAGTCATTGTTACCACTTGCCTTTAACAGGACTTAAGCTCTTATATGCATCCAACCAGAATCCTCTTTCTCTGTGATTTCAGATTTGGAAAGAAATCTCGGCCTGCGATGTATGATGTAACGCCCATTGCCTATGAAGATTACAGTCCGGATGACAAACCTTTGGTCACACTGATTAAGACAAAAGATTTGTAATCTTTCCCTCTCTCTCTCTCTCTTTTTTTTTTGGATTATTTTTCAAAAAGATGGGTTACTACACTCATTGAAATATTTTTAAGAAAATAAAAAGCTTAAGAAATTAAAAATGTTAGCTGCTCAAGAGTTTTCGGTAGAATATTCAAGAACTAATTTTCTGCAGCTTTTAGTTTGAAAGAATATTTTAAAAACACAGAATTTGTGAACTCCATAGCCTACATTTTAATGTACTTTCTAAACTGTACGCTTCTACAAGTGTGTGCTGTTTCATGGTAGACACTATTGCGAAACCCAGATGAAATTCTGCACTTGTTACAGAGTAAGTCTAATCAAGAAGTTGCTGAGTGCTGGCAGTAGAGTTAGGAGAACATGTAAGTAGAGTATGATACATAATACAGTATATCCCTTACCTAAAGAGAAGTCAGAAATGTTTGTTTTGTGAAAACGACGCTAGTTGAATTTATTATTCCTCTCCTGAATGGAATTAGCCTCTGCCTTATTCAGTGCATGAGTAAGTGATTTATTTCTGCACTGTTTGAACTTTGCAGAACCACGATTTTGAGTTTGTTTTTGTCATTTGTGTAACAGTCTTCAAACTAGGCCTTGAAACCAACCACAAGGAAGGGGTCTAGTGCAGCAAATTACGATGGAGTTCTGTCTCTATTTTTCTTCCAGCCCTCAAGGTTTTCTATTGTGAGTAAACTGAATTTACGTTTGAGTTGTTGTGTTGCTAAGAGGTAGTCAGTGTAAGAGCGTACTGGTTCCTTCAGTAGTAAGTATTTCTCATAGTGCATCTTTATTTATATCCAGGACATTCTTGTGGCTGTATTTGATTGGTATGTGCTTCTTCTGATTCTTGCTAATTTCAGGAATATTGAATAAACGTTATTAAGTCAAGGAATCACTTGTTTCTCCTTTTTTTAAATTGCATAAATCATTTTGGGTTTTATGTTGGTGGTCAAACCAATGCTTGTTCTGTTTACAGCATTTTAAACACCCTGAGGTATTTCCATGGTTTGCATGTGGTTGCCATGGGCCCTCCAAGGGCCCACAACAGATTTGGTCCCCATGATGACAGAATGGGAGGGAATGGAACTTTTAGGAGGTGGAAAGGTCCTTGGACCACTGGAAGAGCCGCCCTGGGAGAGGATTTAGGATGCTCTTTGTGACCCCTGAGCTCCTTCAAGAGTGAGTCCTTAGCAAAGTGAGCCTGACCATTGGGTGTATCTCCAGCTTTCTGTTTGGAGATGTGGCTTTCTCCTTGCGCACCTGCTCCTGCGTTGTGGTGCCATGCACCTTTGGGCCCTCACCAAAAGCTGAACCAATGGAAGCACCTGACCAGAACCCTGAGGTGAATAAATCTCTCTTCTTTATGAAGTTAGTCTGCTTCAGGTCCGTGGCAATAGCAGTGGAAATTAGATAACACAGCATCTCTGTGTGTGCCACAGCTGCCCCTGTGGTTGCCCGACTTCCAGATTGTCAGTGAGCCACCCTTGTTGCTTGCCAACGTGAACCTCATGACAAAAAAAGGAGAGGAAGAATTCTCATCTGTAGTTTTGCATCTGAACTTCCCAATGAAATGCAGCGCTTATGAATATTGCATTCAGAGACACCTGCAGCTTCCTGGGCAGGCACTTGAGAGCTGAAGAGGCATTTTACACGCTGCTTTAACGTAGAAATCAGATGAAATGACCCTTGCAGGCAGCTCTGTGGTCCTTAGAAATTGAAGTCGTTAGGGGCCACCTGGCATCCAGTTCCATTCTGTATCTGACTACAGAGTCATTTATTTAAAATACAACTTTAGCATATGACAGGATTGTTTGGTGTGGGGCTCAGGGGCAAAGAGGTCACTAAGTCAATAAGATGGCAACTAACAGTCAAGGTCACTGGGTTATATGTGGCAAGCAAGATGGCAGCCAAGGACAGAGCCCAGGCATGAACCAGGGCAGGGGTCACGTTGTTTGATAGAAAAACCAAAGATGGCCAGGGCCATCTCGCTCACCTACCCCTGGCCTATGGGAGGTGGCTTCCGCAGTCATTCTCCTAGTAATTGGCTCCTAGTTTCTCCCCTCCTGGAATTCCTGAAATTCCTGGCCTGAGGCTATCCCTTACCCTATATAAGAAATTGAATTTCCCCAATAAATCGGAACTGCTTAGACAGAACCCCTGTCCATCTGTCTCTTGTGGGCTGGGAGGCTGGGTGGTGGGCAGCAGGCTCACCCCCTCCGGCAATGGGGTACTAGAGGAATCTGTGGGGGAGACCCTGCAGTTTGGTAGGGCCACAAGAAGACCCGGCAATAGGTACAGGGGAGGGTTTGCAGCACAAAGAATGATTTAAGATGTTTTTCTTCTCTCAGTGTCCTCCAAACATCTGTCTGAAATCTTGCACACGGCATGCCAAAATGCCTGCTCTTCAGTTGTTACATGATACCGTGCAATATGCTAGTATTTTTAGTTCACTGAAGTGTCTGGAAGCAAAAGTAGAACAACCTTAACTGTCAATGGAGCAACCATGGGAATACACAGCTGAGGATGGGACACAGGCCTGTGGACTACCACCTTCCATAAAGGACCCTGTTGGTTGTATGGGTCAAGGCCCTGCTGTCAACACCAGGAAGGGACCTGATGGGAGCTGAATCCGAGCTTCTTGTCTCCCCTCTGTGCTACAGGCTCATGTCTGGGCTATTGGTCTATTCTGCTTGTTGTTCCTTGTTTGCAAGCAGCTCTGATCACATCCTCAAATGTCCCGTCCTTCTCATCCTTGGGTTCACTGTCCGGGATGCCCTGAAGTGAGTTGTGTGGGAAGAACTAACTGGCCTTTTATCAATCACAGTTGTGCTTTTGAGAGAATTCATGAAATTTAGTGGTTCAGATTTTGGGTAGAGTCTGATGACAGTTTGAGAGCAGACCTTGAAACATGTCTGGAAACACATGCTTTTTCTTAGACCTTCAAGACTAATTATTCATGTTCCTGAGCATGCGTTCTGTCATCAGGCAGTGAGCAGGGAGGGGTACATAGCAGTGTAACTTCCTAGCTTTTAGTCTGTTTGAACCAGACCTTGATCTAACAAACAGAACCACAGAGTTCTACTTTGAAGAGCATAGAGGATCAGATTTGATTCTGCATAACGGCCTCTTGTGTATAGCAAAGTGGATTAGAATCATGCTTGAATCCTTTTCTTACTGATGACTTTGGGCATTGCAACTCCCTAGGTCTAAGCTTTATCATTTGGAAAATGGGAATAATGGTAGGACTTCCCTTGAAGGGTCATTGTGAGAATTAAACACAGAATGTAAGTAATTCACTTAAACCATGTCCAGCACCCGCTGAGCTGTCAGGGTGTGTGAGCATTGTTTCTGTGGCTGTTGCTTTAGACAGAGGCATCATCACTGTGGGCTCCTACACGTTGCTGGCTAATGGGTGTGATCTGCAGTTAGACCATCATGAGACTGTCAGTCATCTTCCCAAAGTGTGGAGCAAACACTTCAGCATCTCACCTCAGTCGCTGCTCTGCACTGCCTGTGAAAACAGTGGTGGCAAGTGAGAGTAAACTACTGGCCAGTGCTTCTGTTAACTCAGTGGAGCCAAGCTGGCCGAGTTCTGCTGTGTTTTCACAATCAAGAAAACTTCTCGATTGCAGGAGTCATGCCTTTGAGATGTGGCACAGCTGTGGCTTCCCTGACATCTTTAGCAGCCTGCACTTGGCATAATGAAGCCTGGACCCCTTGGCCTTGGTCACCAATTCTGACCTTTTCCTTAGTGATTCTGCCATAGTAGTTTCTTTCTTTTTTTTTTAATTTCAAGCAAATTTAGAGTTTTATTTTTTCTTCAAGCAGTTTGATCTGACTGTGGTGTTTCTCCAACAACTGGCAGGTGTCTGGAAATCTGATGTACCCTTTTCCAAATAATGCTATTGGTCAAGTTAAACTTTTCAGGTATAAATTGTGTACATCAAAATCTTTACTGTTGGAGGATGTTACAGTTTTTATACAGGGACACACACAAAAAAAAATGAGAAAAAGACAGCTATGGTATAATTGGGATGTTTTAGGTAACCACTCATAACACCCCAGCAGGCACTGGTTGCCTACAGACCAGCTCCATTTCCCTGCCTTTTTTCTTATGCACCTAGAATTGCAAATGCCAGACTCACCTTTACCAGCTTACTTTGCTCTTAAGGATGAATGTGGGGCTCAGTGAAAGTCAGTGGGATTTTTCAGGAAATCGCTGAGGCTGCGTAAAAGACTTTCCTCCCTGGTCAGAGAGTGGAGACTATGGAGAATCAGATGTTTCTGAACAAAGGAAAGGATCTACTAAGCTACGATTAAACGGGCATGGATTTTGACTCTCTTCATGACAGAGTGAGATTGGCAGAACCCCCTACACTAAAAACGAGTTTCTTTAGCCACCAGATGGGGAGAGAATTGACTGATTGGGCCCACAGCCAAAATAGGACCCCCAAACTAAGTCTTGAAAACTGTAGAGATGGGAGTGGTTGCGTGCATATCAGTTTTTAATAAGCTTTTTACTTTAAAACAGAGTTTAAAATTGATTTTCAAACTCTTACGGGGGGGAGGGATCCAGCACAGTGGCTCAGTTGGCTAATCCTCCACCTCCATGTGCCGGGATCCCATATGGGCACCAGTTGGTGTCCTGGCTGCTTCACTTCCAATCCAGCTTCCTGATTATGACATAGGAAAGCAGCAGAAGACTGCCCAAGCCTTGGAAAATTGCACCCATATAGGAGACCCAGAAGGGGCTCCTGGCTCCTGACTTTGAATTGATATGTCTCAGCTCGGGCTAATGTGGTCATTTGGGGAATGAACTGGCAGATAGAAGATCTTTCTCTGTATCTTCTACTCTCCATAAATCTGACCTGCCTTTCCAAAAAAAAAAAAAAAGGAAGAAATTTAACTTTTTAAATTCATTTGGAAGCAAGAAATCCTGAAACACTCATTCGCTCTCCAGTCGCATACAACAGCTGCAGTGCAGCCAGGCCAAAGCCCGAAGCCAGGAACCTCACCCACATCTCCCACAGGGTGGTAGAGGCTCAGGCACTTGGGCCATGTTCCTCTGCTTTCTTTGGCACATTATTAGGGAGCAGGTCAAAACTGAAGCAGCTGGGGCTTGAACTGTCACCTGTATGGATGCCAGTGCCTCAGGCTGTGTGAGGGGTGGGCTGAGAGAAACCACTGAACAAAACCAAAGTTCATTTAAGATGGGGGATATGAGTAGGGACCTGTGAGCAACCAAAAATGTCCTATGCAACTACCTAGTAGTTAGCATAGTGCATGGGGGCAAGCCTACCTAGGGGTAAGTCAGGGAGCGAAGTGGGTGGGGCAAGCCTGCCTAGTGTTAAGTTGGTGTGCAGAATGGGTGGGGTCAAGAAGCACTGGAGGGACAATTTGCAGATCTGTTTCAAAGAAGCAGACGGGCACCAGGCAAATCATTTCACCTGGGCCTGTTCCAACCACATTAGGGTTTTGCTTTGAGCTCAAAGCCATGGCTCACTGGTGTTTTTTACTTTTCCTATGCTATATGTAAATCAAAACTTAGAAACAATTAATATTGAGATCTCTCTTCTCCTCCTCCTCTGCCCCTAGATCTCTATCTGATTTATCTTGAGAACCCTGAAGCTGTGCTCACACTGTGCATGTTATCCCTTGGTAACCAATGACTGACATTGAAATGCAGTTAGGGGCACAATCTACACTGCTCCCTGTTGCCTCTTGGATGCTAAAAATGAGTGCTAGTTAGAACCTATGGTCTTACTGTCCAACTGTGGTTTTGCCTTATTTTCTTTTTGTGGATGAAAGTTTTTCTGTAGCCATGCCGTCGAAACAGGTACAGAGCAGTGCACCAAGTGGAGTCTGTTTCAGAGAAGTGCAGAACGTTGCTGA